AAATGAGAAATATAACAATATTTTAATTGATCAAGGCATCTGTAAAATCAAAACTATTCCCATACAATCTATTGGCATTTATATTTAGTTGTAACCAATTGAATAAATAATATTTAAAAATATTTATCGCATAATAGACCACAACATAGAAATATACTGTATTTATGATTCCTAGAAGTACTCATAATATGTAGTGATATAATGTCCTAGTTATCAATGTGCCTAAGCATTTTATAGCACATATTTTACTAATGAGTTTGATCGTTTAAATTAATAAGTTATTAATAATAATAACTAATAAAAGTTGTGCAATAACTTTCATTGATCAAATAATGATTTTAATATTTCTATAAATGTCTTCAAATATAATAATATTCATTCTTTATTAATAATTTGACAATAATTACATGTTTGTAAAAATTACAAATATAACTACTACAGTATATACATTTTAATGTACGATACAGTATTACCGTACACATTAATTATAAATTTCATAACGAGTAGAAACTAAGTACAAAGTCTTAAAATGTTAAATGTTCATTTTATTGATTTATGAAAATAATAAGTAAAACAATTTTATAATTATAATTAAATCTAAAGCACTTAAACTTATATTTAAGATAAATTGTAATAAGTATTTGTAAAGTGTATTATGCAAATAATACCTCCCGATCGCATACCTCTTTCATTAATGGGAAATCTCCATTATAAATACCCTTTTTATGGTTAATTGCTATCTTATCGTTTAAAATCTCTAAATCTGTCAAATGGTTTAATAGCCTTAAAAACTTTGATTTTGAATCCGACACCGACTGATATTTTAATAGGAGATATCGTTGAAGTAAATACATGTAAGTCTGCTGTTCCAGTCTATATATAGCAAAGTTGATATGAGTTTCAAATAATTGTGAATCGCTTTTAAATCAAATACTCACTTAACTAAGTCTCTGTCCATAAGGTTTGGTCTCTCGGCATTAAATAGCAATATTGCGCTCAACTATAGAAACAATTAAAGTTATAAAGATGTGAAATGCTATGAAATTGATAAACTAATTACTGTACCAGGTCAATGATAACTGGGTCTGAGTCCCATTCCTGGCCCATGTTTCTTAAAAAGCTTTTGTGATTCACATAAGTATTACCAGACTTTAAGAGCTCCAAATGAACTAGGTGAGAGTAATGACTCTCCTGTATATGTATGAATAATAAATTAATTTCAAATAATAAACACCTTATCATATTTCTACACAAACCGTAATAATGTCCCAAAACTGTCCGTCAAAGTCAAACTTCAGGATCATTTGTATGACAATGATCTCAAGACTGGCGTATTTAAGCAAAACTATTTGATCGCTCTCTGGTAGCCCTCTAAACGCGGTTAAAGTTTTACACATTTTGATCACATCTTTGATCTCTTGGT